CTTAAACTGAAGATAATCTCAAATGCTTGATTTCTTTGCATTAAGTTTTTGTTTTTATTAACATGAATTTTATTTATTAAACTTAGAAATTTATAACAATATTAACTCCCCAATTGCAAATATCACAACCAAAATATTCTGTAATAGATTTTGTGAACAGATTCTATTGGTAAAAGATGTCCTTAATCAATCACATAATGTCAATTGTAAAACAGTGATGTTGTTGTTAAGTGACTTCAACTCGTTTCTGACCCATAAGGACCCTGTATAGGGTTTCCAAGGAGCCCCTGGTGAGCTTGAACCACTGACCTTGCAGTTCAAAAGACTTTGCAGTCTTATGCATTAGCCTACAGCACCACACCAGGACTCCAAAAACAGTGATAGTGGTGGTGGCTCTGTGCCGTGCAGTCAGTTCCGACTCATAGCAACCCTGTACAGGGTTTTCAAGGCTGTAAATCTTTACAGGAGCAGCAAGCCTCATCTTTCTCCCATGGAACAGCTGGTAATTTCAAAATGCTGACCTTGCGGTTTGCAGCTCAATGCGTAACCACTATGCTACCAGAGCTCCTTAAAAACAGTGATAGTGAGTGATAAAATGGCACAACCCTTTGCGCATAGTCCAACCTGAGAAATAATATATTATAGAAGGATATACAAACTAGCATAAGTTTGAGAAACCACGCTTCTTCAATCTTCATACTTTTTGTTCTTAAATTTTAAACTTTAAAGCATGAAAGTGTAAGTTTAGGTAAATCTAACATTTTCATTTGCTTCTCATTTCTCAATTTATTTTTTTTCTAAATTCAAATTTAATCTATTATCAATAAAATAATTTCTTCTTCATCTGAATTTACTTCTAATTTACCTCTGAACTTTGACAAATTGTCAAGGAAAGCAATGTCTTTTTTTTCCTGTTTATTTTTGTATTTTCCCTTATTTTTCATTCTCCTTCCCATTTCCTCTATTATTTTTGTCTCTATTCATTTCCTCAATAATTCTTTTATGTCTTCATTACAAAAATGTAAGTTCTTTATCAGTTATGGAATAATTTCTCTAATAACTAACAACTTATTCTCCTTCTATTTCCACTGCTTACTTTTTAGATTGCATTTCCCCTTTATCTCATACTAACAAAATTAGATTTTTAAGAGTGGTCTTGATGATGATGGTGATAATTATAATGAAGATGGGATTGATTCCTGTTGGTATAAGTGCTTTACATGAATTTACACATTATTTTAT